AAAAAAAAGGGGGGGGGGGAAAAACAAAAAAGAATTTGGGCTTTTTTCCCCAAAAGGGGGATTGGGGGGGTTTTTTAAAAAATTTAACCCCTTTTTTTCCCCGGGGGGAAAATCCCCCAGGGGTTTTTTTGGGACCGAAAATTTAATTTTTTTTTTTGGTTGGTTGTTTTGGTTTGTTTTTGAAAAACCGGGTTTAAAAAGGGGGGGTTGGACCCCCCCCAGGGGGGGTTTTTTTACGGGATTCCTTTGCGAAATTCCCCCCGGAAAAAAAAAATTTTTTTGGGGAAAAAAACCTTAAAAATTTTCCTTTTTCCCAAGGGCCTTGGTTTTTTTGGGGCCCTTTGGAAAATCCCGAAGGGGTTTTTTTTTTTGAAAAAAAAAAAAGGGGTTTTTTTTTTCCCCCCCCCATTTTTTGGAATTTTGGGGTTGGGGGGTTTTTGAAAAAACCCTTTTGGGGCCCTTTTTTTGGACTTTGGGGGGGTTGGGCTTTTTTCCCCCCCCCCCCCAATTTTAAACCCCCCCCCCCCCCCCCCCCCCCCCCCCGACTCCGAGACTAGCATGGAATTATGAGTGACCATGAGTAACGCGCGGTGGGTTCGGGTTCAGCTCACAGATTGGGATGCTTGTAATGTTTTGGCAATCTCTTGGAAGCATTGGGTGTGACAGAGTGTGCGAGTCTGGATCGCGGAATGGAATCCCTTGCGCTCGGTGTTTAGGTTATGGTGTTGGAGTGAGGGGAGTAAGACGAGCATTGTCGCGGGAGTTTTTCCTTAGCAGTGCCGGAGAGCATTGCGGGCGGAGGATCTTCCGAGAATACTGGATCATAGCCCGAAGAGGAAGAGGGTTCCAAGTTCTGGCTCGAGCTGTGGGAGGTTTGCCTAAAGTGAGGGTTCAGGAAGGCTACAATCGCAAGTAGAAGCTGTGTCGATGTGAACGGATATCGTTACGTTTGTGTATTGTGGAGATGAAGATGTTGAAGTGTAGTGACCCGACTTAGTTGGTGTTTTTGATGTTAGATCGTGATACATTTCCAGGAAAGAAAATTCAGAAGTGGGGTAAAGATGTTTTCTCCGACATTGGAAGGGTCAGAGTGGATGTGTTCAAGTTTCCTTCTAGTGAGGTAATTTGTGTTTGAGTAGTGGCTAGTGCATTGGCTGCTTGACTCACTTGCAACTTGATTTCGACTGCCCATCTGAGTTATTCTAAAGCTAGTTCGACGATAACGATGAGTTTGGGAGGAGATAAACGACCTATTGGTAAGGATGCTTCGAAAGATGGCATGCCGGAAAAGAAACGTCCTCGATCCCAACTCGCGAGGTTTGGACGTCTTTGTACGACTACTATTTGTTTTGCTTATAACCATCTGCGGCAGTATCAAATTGGGGTCAGTGTGAATTTTTATATGTAATGTGCTATATTGAGCTCCTTTTTTTAAAAGAAAGATTCTGTTTGCTGTAATGTAGGGTCATAGTGGAGGCTGTGAAAATGGATATGCTGCAGAAACTATGCTCAAGTTTGGAGCCTATGCTTCGACGTGTGGTAAGAACCTATCGATACTGTTCCCAATTTTGAGAGGGAAACTCGGTAGCAGGAACCGTGATTTTATCATTGCTTTAGAGTACAGAATTTTTAGAGGAGCAGAACTCTACGCTATCGGATCGTGTTTTGAATTATCTGTCAACCACATGGGATGTATTTTGAGTGATTTTTTAATTCTGAAATGTTGAGCTTACGGTTCCAATTGCCTTGGAACTGGCTACTGTGGTGGTCATTTAACCTGCAGTGAATGAAGGAAGCGACCAGGTTTGTATATTACTCACAAAGGGTTGATTTCATGAAGCAATGCAGGTTGCAGAGGAGGTTGAGCGTGCGCTTGCTAAGCTCGCTCCTCCAAAACTGGGGATCCGGTATGCTATTAGGAACTAGATTCAATTTTATGTATCCATTTTCATTGTTTTCTGTCGGGCTCTCACTCGACAGGTCTATTTACTCAATGTTTCAATGTCAACGCAACGCAAATTAGTTTCTGGTTTTGAACCTTTTTCTCTTAAATCAATGTTCGCAGGTCGTCACCAAAGAGGGTGCAAGGCCCAGACCAACAGGGTTTGCGCTTGGAATTCAGGAATAAGCTAGCTTTTCCTCTCTTCACCGGAAGCAAAGTCGAGGGAGAGCAAGGTTCAGCAATTCACCTTGTTCTACAGCATGCCGTCACGGGTCAAGTTGTTACCACTGGTCCAGAAGCCTCCGCTAAGCTGGACATTGTAGTTTTAGAAGGTGATTTCACAGCAGAGGAAGAGGGCAATTGGACCCAGGAAGAGTTTGAAAATTTTGAGGTTAGGGAGAGGGATGGAAAAAGGCCTCTCCTCACTGGAGACCTTACTGTCACATTGAAGGATGGGGTGGGGACTTTGGGAGAGTTGACATTTACAGATAATTCCAGTTGGATTCGCAGTCGCAAGTTTCGATTAGGCGTGAAAACTTCATCTGGATTTTGTGAGGGCTTGCGAATTCGAGAAGCCAAGACCGAGGCCTTTACTGTGAAGGATCATCGTGGAGAGCGTATGTTTCTTACCTCACCTCTATCTAGATTGTAATGTTCCTTACGCCGCAGTATTCGGTTATATGGCTTCTCGTTTTTGGGATTTAGAAGTTCGGACCTTCAATATGCTCTAGAATTGGTGAATGACCAGTGTACATTCCTACTGCCTGCCTTTTTACGGTCCCTGGAAGAAGTACGAAGGATCAGTGGAAATATTAGGAATGGATACGTTTCTGTTTCTAAGAATCGTTGTCGGTCACATTCTGCAGTTTACAAGAAGCACTACCCGCCTTCCTTGAATGATGAGGTCTGGCGATTGGACAAAATTGGCAAGGACGGTGCTTTTCACAAGCGTCTCAATCAGTCTCGCATTATGACAGTCGAGGATTTTTTGCGACTGGTTGTGATGGATCCTCAAAGGCTGCGTAACGTAAGTGTCCCATGCTAAACTTATGCAATGCAATATCATCTAAGGTATTTGAATCGCGGAAATCTAGACTCAACTCTGTCCACTGCCTACGCATTCTACAATTTCATCATCGCCCAGTGTTGTGCTCAAAACTTGACATCATTTGATTTGTGCAGATTTTGGGAACTGGAATGTCGAACAAGATTTGGGAGGGTACAGTGGAGCACGCGAAGACTTGTGTTTTGAGTGGAAAGTTGCAAGTATACTATGCTGACGAGAAGCAGAACATTGGCGTTATTTTCAACGACATTTTCCAGCTGATGGGGCTTACCGCTGATGGTTCATACATGTCAGTGGATTCCCTCTCTGACAGCGAGAAGGTACTGTAACAAGTATCTCTAATGTTGGCGTAACTTTTTTCTATACTTGCATATGCGTCGGCCCATGTCCCGTTGTTGCATGTCATTTTCCTCAATGTTTCCTAGTTTCTTTTTCTTCATCAAGCACATCAATTTCTGAATGTGCTGTGTGAATTGATGCACAGGTTTATGTAGACAAGCTCGTAAAAGTGGCTTACGAGAACTGGATGAACGTAATAGAGTATGATGGGGAGGCGTTGATCGGTGTGAAGACGTTACATCAAGCAAAAGAGTTTGATACTCACACTGCGGACCGGTTTGGTGGAGGCAAAGTATCCAGTATGTCCAATACTCCCAATACCCATTCGCAAGGTCCGAGTCTGAACCATCAGCAAAGCCTACAGACATGCACATTATTTATAGAGGATGTCATTGCATGAGTTTACTAGCCCAGGGTTTGAATGGTGGGCGAGTAAGGAGCGGTCTTTGGGTTCAAGTTCCTGAGGGTTAGCATGAAGTGGCGTCAGCATGACCCACTGGAAGTTCTATCGAGAGCTTTCAGGTGTAACCTGAAAAATGTGCATTTATCTGCCAGGGTACTGCAGTCTGCAACTTTGAAGGCCAAGTGTGTAACATAGTTGAGTGTGCGCTTGAGCTGGACTAATCAGGGGATTACTTCTTTCAACCAATACAGTAGAAGAGTCCGTCTTGAGCGCAAGCCTTAGGAGATTGATTGGGCAGGCTTCTTTCTTTTTCTTTTTTTCTTTTCTTTCAATACCTTGTATCCTGGAGATCTGTGCTTACAAAGTTGACCATCCAATTGCGTCGAGATCTTTCGTAAGCAAAATAGTCTGATTGTAGCCTAATACGCAGTGTAGAGCATTTTGACCAATTTCCAGTAACCTCATTTTCAACTGCGGAAAGGTATTTTTATTACGTTTGCCTACTTCAGTGTGCGTTCAGATGGTTTTCCTGGTGCTACCTCGGGCCACTGAAAGCATACTTCACCTTCTATTCAGCTTGAACGTGTATTAGGACGTTTCTACAGTTGATTCGTTACGTGTCTATACAACTATGCAGGTGGTGGTGAAGGTGAATCAAGATCAGGGTCCCTGTCGTATGGACCGGAACCGATAAAAATTACTCCACTGTCATTTCCTGGTTCTATTAGTCAGCTACCAGACAATCAAAGTATCACAGAACCCATTCTGCAGATGAACAGCAACATTGAGACTCATAATCAACCTGTTTTGTCCAAGCCTCCTGAGAGTCTACTGCTTACAGATCACAATGGGTTGACTGGCTTAGCTCTAGGTCATTCACAAAGCAGCACAGCGGTATCAAGTTCTGGTGTTACTCCCTTCGTTCCTGCTGTGATGAATGGTTCCACGTCAGGCACTAGTGATTGGCGGCAGCAGCTGCAGCAGCAGCAGGAGGAGCAGCAGCAATCCCGACGAAATTTTCAACGACAGGAGAGTTTTGGCAGGATGTTAATGTCTGATGTTACTGAGGACGAAATTCGGGCCCGAAGTATGGAGCTTTTAGAGAACGAGGACATGCACACACAAATTCAGCAGCTGCTTCGCATGTACAACGGACAGTTAGGCGATATTTCGTTTAGCGCAGATTGTCCTACCCCTGGAGATGATACGTTTCCATTTTTAGATCCACCGGGTACAGGTGAAGAGACTGTGGACGAGCACAAGCCTCGACCAAACGGTAGGGCGTATGTAAGTTGGTTGAAGTTGAAAGCAGCACTTCATTGGGGCATCTTCATTCGTAAACGTGCAGCTGCAAAGAGGGCTCAACTTGAAGAAGCTGATGATCCTGATTCATAACCACGGCCTTCTAAAGTATTTGGTAGGACTGATTCTTTCGAAGCGTAAGGTTCCGTCTCGTGATTAGTAGCTCTGGTAATGATTCTTCCCTCCCAGGTTCAGGTCTTATCAAGTCACTTCGAAGGTGATGTGTTGTTAGTGGTGAACAGAAACTTATGGCTCTGAAGTCATTTGTTGAACATGGTGATGGAGAAGGGCCGCGCTCTTGATTATCTAGTTTCTTTAAGATTTTATTGGTTCTGTGGGAAGTGGAATCCGCCTTTCGATACAGCAGCTCTGCAGCTTGTGTGGTTCTCTTGGGTAATAGCTATGTATTCTGCTATCAAGCCGCTGATGTATGTTTTAGATAGAATAGTATGACTTGGGATCTCTATATTTGTGCTAAATACATTCACTCTTTTCCTCCCTCGTGTACTGGGTTGGAATCTGTCTCAAGCGAAGAACGGAAGGCGATTGTGGACGTTGGAGTGATCTATATATATATATATATATATATAGATATAGATAGATTAAGATTATTATGTGGCTATTAACTGAGCTGACGGTTGTGGAAGGCCATTGATTTTTCGTGAAGTTCATGCTCTTAGTTTTAGTCCCAAGACGTAGTAATATTTATGTTGTGATTCATTCTGGAAAGCACAGGAACATGATTCCCTATCTTCTTTACTAATTTCCAGTTTATCTTCGCACTGCAACTAGTTTCCTCTTTGTTGATTCAATTCAGTGTTTCTATTTTCTTTTGTATCTATGAGACGATTTCTCTTGTAAATGGACAAGAATAATTGTGATAAAGCCCTTAAAGGCTAAAACGGTCTTTCAATGCCAAACAGTGTAGTCGTGGTCAACTGAGACCACACAAAATGCAGCACTAATTCAACTCATTTTTCTTCTTTAGCGACAATATTTTGAAGCCTTGTGCTCAGGAATAATGACTTTGCTTTGCTTTTTCTGTTATGCTCATATTATTGTCCATGTTTTATTATTTTTACTTAGTCTGGTATGTCGTATTTTGTGTGTCCATTATCACATTGTTTTCATTCATGTTCTAAAGGATGATTGTATACTCATTCTGCAGTATATAGGAACAAGAGCTTTAAATATTAAAAAAAAACTGAATTTTGAGAATGACTTGAAACCCTGTCATTCTCTTTGAATATCATATTTTTTAAGAAAATTGAAACTTGAAAGAAAAAAACAAAAAAAAAGAAGAAGAAGAAGAAGAAGAAAAGGTAAGAGCATGATATATTACTTACAACTAACGAAAAAAACTTTCATACAATCGAATTGCATCTCCACAGAATGAAATGTATCTGGGCAAGTATGTTCCTCTTGTTTTCCTCTGAAAAAAAACAACTCTATACTACACTGGTTTGGCTTAATTTAATCTACATGATTGCAAACCCCCTGAAATGAAACTCTTCCTTCAAAAATATAAGTATGAAGAAAAAATTTGAGTTGGATCTTTGAAACTATCCATGAGCAAAATGCCTTTCACTATTTTAGGGTACTGCAATAGAATCATCTTGGAAAGAAAGATTGGAAAATTGCAGGAGAATCTTTGTTTATATTTACACTTACCGAACTTGGTTTTTATATGATTTGTTGATTAGAGGCACAACAATTAGCTGCTCTCTGAACACCCCAACTATTAATCAACTTAAAATTGTCATAAGCTTAGGAATGTTTTGAAACCATTTCTGTGATGATAATTATAAAGATCACATTGGGTTTTTAACACGTGAAAGGTGAATGAAGATTCAAAGTTGCAACTATTTGGCTGCTGCCAAATGCCTACCAAAACAACTATAAAATATCAAAAATAAAATATTAGACCGATATTCAAATAGTTGTGCTCGTTTTACTTACATTTAAAAATAAATAAATAAAATAAATAAAAAATTGTATGCAGGTATGAATATAAATAGATAATAAAAGATAGATGATAATTTCGTTGTGGATTGAAGTGCTATCACTCAAGCTTATTATTAACATTCCATTAATCAAAGAAAGAGATTTTGGTTTGAATACTATTTTGTTCAAACTTCCCATACAAACTTAATGTATGTATTTTGATTATAGTTTATTGACACCAACCACATTTTGTGTAGGGATTTAGCTATTGATCATTCGATACAACTAAATGGAATATTATTATGCTTTTTAAATTCAAAAGTAATGAAGTACAATATTTCTTAGTAATATTTGTATTGCATGGCATGTTAAAACATCTTTGGGACTCATTAAGAGAACAGAAATTTTTTTTAGTAAAAACATTAAGAATTTGGATACTGCAATGATATTGGCCTGCTAAGAGTTGTTAATATGTATTAATAACTACATGAATAAAATTACTTAGATCTAGGTTTGCCTAGCTGACTCATACTTTTAGAATTGGTGCAATACAATTTCTTTTGTTCTTTTTATTTGTATTGGACATCTCAAGTTTGTAGATGCATCAATTTTCTCTTATCATACAAAAGCAATAATTACTTTATTTTAGATCAACCACAATTCTCTCAAATATCTTTTAATTTTTTTTCTTATTAAATAGAATTGCCTATTATAATTAAAAAGAATTTAAGTTACAAAATTTTCAATTTGCCTGATTATGTAAAATTTGGTTGGATCACAGTTAAATTGGTTAATATGCCTTTAACACTATTAGATGACTTTCTTGTCATATTTATATACAATAATAACTACTTTAAACATTATTATTCAAAATTATATTTTTTTTAAAATAAAATAGCATAGAATAAGATTTTTAAATTATTGATTGAGTTGTAAATACTTGATCATTCTTTGGAATAGAAACTATGTAAATTTTAATGTTTGAATAAGAAAAACGTTATCTTATTGGCTACAACTACTCACTAGAAGATGTCACTAACTTCAAAATTACCAATTTATTATTTTAACCATATTTATTTGATTATCTTAAAAAAATAACCAACATATTCTTTCAATTGCTATTTTCTTTTCTTTGGCACATTGAGACCTTGTATTATGTTATGACAAGTTGGGCAGATTTTATTTATTTATTTTTAAATAGCTATTTCTAAGGTCTCACACATACTACAGGGGTAATAAGCTACATTTATGATTTTTTAAAAAAATACGATTCTAATAAAATTGTGAATAAAATAAAAATAAAAATATGAAAATGAAAACATAAGAGACTTAAATATTTGAACTTCTTAAAAAACATTGGTAGTACATGCTGTAAATTAGAAAATATTTTACTATAAACTAATATATTTTTTACTCATATTTTATTTATTATTTTATGTTACCTATACCCTAAAATCTTCAATTAGTAAAATATTTAAAGTTTAAGGCATATATGGCTTTGATTTGTTGTCAGCACAAGAATAGGTTCTAGTATGGTATTTGGCCAAGATTACATGATTTTGTAGCCTAGATTTTTATCAAAAGTAATTAAGATTTCAATTATATTAATTACATTTTTTTTTTTCTCTTGATGATATTAAATGAGTAGCATTTTGTGTCTTGATTGACAGTATGAACCTATCCAAAAATAGTGAGGTATGATAAGCATTTTTTATACCAAATATAATTATAATAAAATGAAACAATTTCTAAAATTAAAACGACTTTTATAAAAGATTATTAATCATTTCTCAATCACATAATTTTTAATTATTAAACAAAATCTTAATATAATTGTGTTTCTATTCATGGAAAAGGTGTCAACATCATAAAATATGAAACGCATTCTCTTGTGTTGACCAGGCATCTTGTTGATTGTTCTATCTTCATGAGAGAATAAAGATAAAAGAAACATTAAATGTTTTGTCCACGTCAGCCATTCTACATTGTTTACTGCTTCCTATTGGCTGTTAAACTTATCTTAGTATTTTTCTTTCTCATGTATCATTTGCATATTGTGTCGTGATTTCCTTTCTTAAGTTCCTTCATAATTTGATGCCACTGTGTGGCCAAATTCTACTTCTTCCTGCACCAAGTTGTTCAGTGTGTCTCCTTTCTTTTAATAATAATAATGATAATCATAATCAAGCAAGCAAGCACCCAAAAAAAATAGAATGTCTATATATATACATATACATATATCAAATCTACACAGAGTAATTCAGAAGATCTCAGGAGCAATGCACGGATACAGCTTTTTACTTTATTATACTTTATTAACCTTTTTTTGTGTGCTGGGCAGCAGGAACAGAGACATGAAGAATACGTTCCATGTCCCCTGGAAGGCACTACAATTAGGCTTTTCAATTACTTTTATGATTAGCTGTTGCCCCACTTTGTTTTTTTTCCTAAACTCTGGATCCTCGTGAACCCAAAAGATTCTTGGGATAATTACTTTTTATTGCCCATGGGAATATAATATAAAAATATAAAACTAATAATATATTGTCTTCTAGCAAAGGGCAGCGCCATACGAGCAGGGACCAAATATGGGCAGAACGTCAATTTTTATTTTCATTATTTTTTATACATAAATGTAGGGATTGTATGAACGTAGTTCTAATTAGTTATTACTTTCCCCTAAGGATTCGGCATTTTCCTGATTGGGTGAAATGGGACCATGCATCTGACACCAGATTTCTCCGCCATCTTGGAGAGTAAAAACGGGCAGCCTCCAAAATCAATGTTACGGGCAGCTCTCTCCAGGGTGTCAGAAGGTGTGAGATCATGGGATCGAACCCCAGTGGAGACTGTCCTTCAGTGCCTATTCATGTCCATGGCAGACCACTATAATTAGTCTCTGTCGTTCTGCTTCTTCATTAGTTATATATATTTATATATTTATTCTATTTTATTTTATTTTTTCCTTTTTTCTTTTTATGATAATTAGACCAAGCTTCTGATAAGGAGTGGGATGGATTTGGGCATGATGGCATCAGCACTGAGCAAATTCCACCCTCTATTTGTGCAATAGCAAATAATTGGGTAGAGAGGTGGGGGGCAATTCTCAGGCAAGAGACAAATCTCTCTAAGTTTAAGCAAATCCAATGGTATGCAGAAAATCCAGACTGAGGAATGGGGGGTGCACCCATAGATATGATCAAAGAACTGTCCATGGCCATGAGTTTGCTTTGCTGGTTGATTTATAAAGGGGAGGGTGCAAGACAAGAATCAGTGGAACATGGATGGGGGTGTTAATATGGCTGGCATTGCCTGCTCAATTTGACAACTTCAGCAGCAAAAGGAGGAACTGTTCTTATTATTCTATGTCATGGGAAGCAAGGCCAGCAGGCTCCCAAGCCTTTGTCCCTCTCAGTCTCTCTTGTACTCTTACTCTTACTCTTACTTCTTTCAGGTGGGGTCAATATATGCTGCTTCTGTAGCTGATGCTGGCAACACATCATCCCCATATCATCATCCAACACAGGATAGTGGTGGTGGTGGTGTACTGTGTATGAGGATAAGGCAAATCTCAATGACTCCTCAAAGTGTGCCCATGCTCTCTCTCTCTCTCCCCCTCTATTCACCACCACCACCATCACCACTTCATAGTCCACAGACCCCACCAGGACCCAGACTGGTTATTCAATGGACCCACCCACCCACTCACTCTCATTCTCTCTCTCTCTCTCTCTCTCTCTCTCACATATACATTCACACTTACACACACATATTACTGATTCTAAGAAGGGGGGGGGAGGGGGTTCATAAAACTCTTGGGTTTGAGCCTCTTGTTTTTGCTGTC